CTAGGTCTATCTAGCTAAAGTTTCATGTTCCAATCATCTAGTTGACCCCAATCCACTACTTTGATTGATCTATGTAATCGATCTCACAGTCATCATTACATGACATTTGGTAAATTATATCATTTTTCGACTAATTGTATCTATTGAGTCCTTAAGCCTATAGACAAAGTTTATCTCTGAAAGAGTTGGTTGGTTGGTTGGATGGTTTAAATACCACTCTGACTAATTTCAGCTTCATTGAGAATCCTATGATGTAAGTCCTGTGATGTTCTTTCTAGAATGATTGACCCTGTTGAGTTAAATAGTCTAGAAAAAAGCTCGGCCGTTGAATTGCGTTACATTCACTTGCATTATTATTATTATTATTATTATTATTGTATCCTTTAGTTCCTAGAGGAACATAGGGCTTCAGCTGCGCACCTCCATTACCTTCGGTTTTCTGACAACTTTTTCACCCTGCTCCAGGTCTGTCTACATGCTTTCATCTCCTCCTCCAAGTCACTCTTGGACGACCAACTCGCCGCCTCTCTTTTGGGTTCCACTCGAGGGCTTGTCTAGTGATGTCACTTGATGGTTTCGTCAGAGTATGGCCAGCCAATCCATCACCATTTCTTCCTGCCTATTTGTTTCACAATCGGTTCCCTGTCGGGTTGGTTCCCTCATTGCCAGAGATCCCTGTTGCTGATCTTTTCTGGCCATCTGATCCTGATTAGTATTGAGCGAAGACAGCTGTTAATGAAGGTCTGAAGTTTGTTTGAGATGCTCTTTATGACGCGCTGGCCAAGTCTCTGATCCATACAATAAGTAGCACTGACTGACTTCACATTGGAGTTGAAAATCCGGATCTTATTTTTGATGGCGAGTGCTGTTGACCTCCACACGGAGTTGAGAGTAATGAAAGCTTGTGTTGCTTTTCCGATTCTGGCTTTGATATCCTCGTCAGTGCTATCCGCCTGTAGTTGAAACGATGCTTCCCAGGTCGATAGGTAGGTGAAGGAGGTTGTTTATTTCAGGTTCTTCCCACTTATGCTGATTGCTGTTGTTGTTGCTGTTGATGTTGGCTAGGAATCTTCATTATCTCTGTTTTATCTATGTTCACGTGAAGTCCTATCTTTGATGCTTCTTCTGCCAACTTGTTACTTTTCACTTGCATATCTTCCAGTTTATGGGAAATCAGACATATATCATCGGCGAAATCCAGATCCTCCAAGTCTTTTGTGTCAGTCCATTTTATGCCTGTTCTGTCGTTGGTTGCCGTTGTCTGTCGCATTATCCAATCAATTGCAATCAGGAAGATCATTGGTGATAGTAGACAGCCAGCTTGCCTCACTCCCGTCCTCACTTCGAAGGCTTCCGTAAGTTTCCCGTTGTGGATTACTTGGCATGCAGCATTGTCGTATAACTGTTGGATGAGATGTATAATTGTCGATGGGACCCCGTAGTAGCGAAGTAGTTTCCAAATGACCTCTCGATCGACGCTGTCGAAGGCCTTTTCAAAGTCGATGAAGTTGAGATAGAGAGGTGACTGCCATTCCAAGCTTTGTTCAATGATGATCCGTAGTGTGGCGATTTGATCAAAACATGATTTGTTTCTCCCGAATCCAGCCTGTTCCGGACGAAGTTTTTCATCCAGCATGGCTTGTTTGATTCTCTCCAGGATGATGCGACTTAGTATCTTGCTTGGAATGGACAGAAGCATAATTCCACGCCAGTTTTTGCATTGGCTTAAGTCTCCTTTCTTTGGTAGTTTCAATAAGTATCCGTTCTTCCAATCCTCGGGTACTTTGCCCTCTTTCCACACCTTCTCCAGCAGTGGCGTCATCAAGTCCGCTGTTGTCTCTGGGTCTATTTTCAAAGCTTCTGCTGGGATTCCATCTGGTTCTGGTGCTTTCCCAGCTTTTAGCAACTTGATTGCATTCAGGACTTCTGATTTCGTTGGGGGTCAATGTTCACTGGTAGTTCTGCTTCCGTTGTTGGTATTGTTGGGCGCGTTGTAGGTGGTGGACGATTTAGAAGTCTTTTGAAGTGCTCAGCCCAGTGCTTCCTCTGTTCCACCTCTTTGGTGATTGACTTTCCATTGTCGTCCTTTATTGGCTTAATCTGTGTCGAACTTTTGCCCGATAGGTGCCTAGTTGTTTGATAGAGTGTGGCATATAATCACACAATAAGTTGGCAGGGGAGGCAGGGTGAGAGTATTTAAATTAATCTAGTTAGTTGAAGATAGACAGAAAGAGAGAGAGGTTAATCAACACTGAATCTTTGTCTACCGAACCAACACTGGACACATGCAATCGCAATGAAGGAGCACATATGCCTGATTATATGGAAAGACGAAAGACAGAGACGCATTGTGAATTCGTGTGACCAAATTGATCTAATTGTGAACAATGAATTGTGCTAAAACCTATTTAATATAGAATAACACAAGAGGGTGTTTGTACTGCCTTCGTGGCACAGCGGTAGAATGCTGGCCAACTACGCACCCGTGTGGTTCAGAGTTTGATCCCCGGCAACAGACGCGCTACTAAGCCAGTAATAAATCTGTCTGTCTGTCTGGATTCAACATAGAACTTCGCACCGAAGTGCGCCAGTTCAACTTGCCACGTTCCAAATAGCACACAGAGGTAGACAAGAAGATGAGTGAAGAGAATCAATACAGTCAGACAAGTATAAGAGTGAAACAGAATGGGTAATGGTAGAAAGGAATATGAAAGATTACAGAGACTGAATACATCTGCGCTGGCCATTGACAACGATCACTTTGAGCCATGTCACCTATATCGTCTCCAGCCATTGATTCCTAGAGTCAGTCCCGAGGGCCCCGACCCAGGAGTCTGCATCTCCCTACCTGACTCAGTTTAACTGTCAAGGATTTCATGGATTGATCAGGCCATGTTTTTGTTTGGCCACCACTGGCTCTTTTCCAACCTGCACCTATATCAGCTAGCCAGTAATAAATAAAGCTGGTAAAGAGAGAAAGTTGGGCTAGCTGAGGCTAGCAACCCCATCCTGTAAAAGATAAACACCACTGCCAGCGAAGATTCAAAAACGCTCTAGCTTGAAGGTGTCTTATGTTCCACTGGGAATGTAAAGAAATAAAAATTAAAAAAATAAATTGAGAAGTATTGGACATATTTTGAGGAAATTGTTGAGTGATATCGTCCACTAGGCCGTCAAGTTGAAACTGAATTGAGTAAACGATGAGTTGGGCGTGGGTTCCTGTTTGATATATTTATTTATTTTATTTTTATTTATTATTATTATTTTTGATTACAGCTTGATTCCTAACCACTGTGCCACCGACGCACTGTTATTAGAGAAGATTGTGTGAGAAGAGGGTGACAGCTTATGCGTGATCTGCGAGTTAGCTAAAAACAACTGAAGACGACAGGATGAAGTGGAGGAAATGTACTGTCGGATTCTTATGTTTCCACTCGGAACCCTAAAAGAATAAAAGAAGTTTGTATTATTTAAAACAATTAGTCTCCTTTATGAATTTAGATGAAGCAATAAGAAGGCGTAATTTATCTGAATCGTGTGTGTAATGTGTATTTGTGCAACGCACATTTCGAACAATCTGATCACATTCCACGTACTTGTCATAAGAATATGTATGAAATTAATAAAGAGTTAAGAGGTGTGCGTCGGTGGCATAGCGGTTAGGACGCTCGCCGACCATGCACATGGTCCGGGGTTCGATCCCCGGCCGACCCACTCCTTTACCTCGCTAAACCAGAAATAAAGCTGGTAAAGAGGAAAGGTTGGGAATGAGGCTAGCAACGCAATCCTGTAAAAGTAAGCATCACTGCTACAGAAACTTCAAGCCACTAGCTTGAAGGTACCCTATGTTCCACTGGGAACGTGAAGGAAAAATTAAAAAAAAATTATTAAGAGGTGAGAAAATAGACTACTTAGGTCAAGTTAAAAGGTCAAAATAACAATGAAGACCACTAAACCAAATAAAAGAGGTATCAAAACAACGTTTACCAAGGAAGGTGGTTTAGTGTGATGACGAATTGTTACTTTGAACGCATAAAGTTGGCTTAAACTTTCTAACTGCTAGTCAGGGCTCCCACAGACTTTGGGATATGCCCTCTCCCAAACACGTTTTATAGATGGATAGGTGTAAAACATGTGTTAACGTCAATTTTATGTCCTGTCCCATCTATAATATGTTTTGCAATAGAGGAGCTAGATTGTCGTCTGTTCTCACCATTAATGGGTTTTGAAGATTCTATTTGTTTCTGGAGTCATTTAGGAATTATTATTATTATTATTGGTGGCACAGTGGTTAGGACGCTCGCCGACCATTCACATGGTCCGTGGTTCGATTCCCGGCCGACGTACATCCGATATCAATGGTCGGCCTGCAAAATTTGGGCTACCGATATCAAATGCTGAAAATTCTATACTTGTGTCAAAAACACTGTGTGGAGTCAAGCTATTATTATTATTATTGTTCCCTTGGGTTCCTAGTGGAACATAGGGCTTCAACTGCACAATCTCCACTTGCCACTTCTATTTTCCTTCTGCTGTACTTTTCACCTGAATCCATCCATGTTAGTCTATACTCTTTCAAATCCTCTCTCTTCACACCATCTCCTCCATGTCACCCTTGCACTGACGACCCACTCGCCGCTTCCCATTCCCTCGGGTTCCACTCGAGCTTGGTCAATAGCCTGACGCGCGCGCGATGTCACCCAGCGGCCTCCACAGCGAGTAATGTCCAATCCATCTCCACCTTCTCCTGCATATTTGTTGGTTGGGCGATTGGTTCTTGTTTTGTTTGTTTGTTCCCATAGTTTCTTGTTAGTGATTCTTTCCGGCCCAGCCATCTGATCTGATCTTCAGCATAGATTTAGCGAAGACAGTTGTTGATGAACTTGTTGGTAATATTTAATTTAAATTAATATTATTATCATTGACTTTTTATAAAAAAAGGTATTTTCACTTGTTAAATATTTTCTCATGGTTTATTTTCTTCCTAATATTCCATCCAGATATTGTATCAACTGAAAATTTTCACCACGGCAATATTCTTCAGAATTCTCCTATCGAAACACCTAAGTCGTGTCCAATGGATTTCATTGGCTATTCTGTTCACCGGTGTAGTATTAACCCAGTTAAATGATATCATGAAATCGGATACTGCGATGAATTCAACCGCCAATGGTACTTCCAATAATAATAATAGTAGTACTAATAGTAATGGCAACAAAAATCTACTCCTTGGATTATCCTCCGTTGTACTGGCATGCAGTTGTTCTGGTTTTGCTGGTGTATTTTTTGAAAAACTCTTGAAAAGTAGTCATAAAAGTGTAGCTATACGTAATATTCAGTTGGCATTTTATGGGGTGACTGTGGGAATTATAACAGTTTATCTTAAAGATGGACAAGCTATACATAAGAATGGATTTTTTTTCGGTTATGATTCTATTGTATGGTTGGCAATTTTAATCCAGTCTCTAGGCGGGTTGTTGATTGCAGCGACGATACGCTATGCAGATAATATACGTAAAGGCTTTGCCACCTCGTTGGCTATTGTACTCACTTTTATCTTGTCAATATTTTGGTTTAATTTTCAACCGACAATTTTATTCTTTTTTGGTGCTGTTCTAGTTATTATAGCTACGGTTTTGTATTCTGCTTATCCACCTGCCACTGATACTACTAATAACAAGTTTGTTAGTAGTAGAAGTGATGGTGATAATAGGTATTTTGTAAATTCACTTTTCAATACAAAGTCGCAAGTGAATAATGATTTTTCGCATAAATTATCTATATGATGAATTGTACTCATTTCCTTCGCTATCTCCCTCTCTCTTTTTCTTTTTCTATTGTGATATTGTTCTTTCTTTTTTTTTATAAAATTGTGATAAATTTCTATTCCTGCCTAAACACCGCCAAGGCCCCCCCCTAGCCCGGCCCGCCTTCCCTCCATTTTCTTCGCCTCATTGTTTCACTGACTGCGGTATGTACTGTCGTCAGGGATGACAGGCGGCAATTCAAAAGAAAGAAAAGAAAAAATTACTTTTGTATGTTTGTTATTTGATATTTTGTCTTCTTTATGGTGGTGTTAATTTTTATAGACCGAAATGGCTAGTGATATTGATAATAATAAATTTTAGTGCCTTTTGTATTCTTAATTTGTCGTTATTCTTTCGTCGATTTAGGTAGCATTTATCTCAAGTTTGAATATTGATTGACTGACTGACTGGTTTCAACATAGAAGAACTTTGTGGAGATGTGCAGCAGTCCGAAGTACTACAGTGCACTCCATGTAGCACACAAAAAATCAAAAGAAGACAGTAATTATTATTGTCATTATTGTTTCTTTTAATTCCTAGAGGAACATAAGGCTTCAGCCGGACGTCTCCATTGCGCGTTTGGTTCTTTGCCAACGTTTTCATCGTCTGGATCCACGTCTGGCCAAATGCTTTCATCTTCTCTTCACATCACCTTCTCCTCCATGTCACCGTTGCACTGACAACCGAATCGCCGTTTCCCATTCGCGTCCCACTCGAGTGATGGCCTGCATTGCGGATGATGTCACATAGAACTTTGCACCGGTGTGCACCAGTTCAAGTCGCCACACACCCTCCTTGTAGCACACAAAGCAAGAGAAGAAAGTACAAGAAAAGCGTATTAGAGACAGTAAACAGAGGTGTGAGACAAAGGAAGAGTATTAACGAAGAACAATATAGTTTCATTGGAAATCATAAGTCACAAGGAGTGGATGCATCTTCACCAGCCAGCCATTGAGAACGATCAATTTGAGCCATGTCACCAATTGTTTCCAACCATTGATTGTTACCGTCCCGAAGACCCCAACCAGCCAGTCAGGAAGTCTACACCTTCCTACGTGGCTGGCTTAGACTAACTGTTGTAGATTTCACTGACTGGTGCCAAGTTTTAGTTTGACCTCCGCTAGCTTTTTTCCAGCTTGACCCTATATCCGCTAACATTGCTCGTCGAGGAAGGCGATGACTAGGCTGGGTATACGTAACACATGTCCTAACCATCTCAGTCTATGTAACTTCACAACTTCGTCGATTGATTTCCCCTGTTTATCTAGAACTCGACGCCTAACCTCAATATTGCTCACCTTATTATACCACCTCCCTAACACGGGAGATAGAATACAGGCATCTATGATCGAAGGCAGCTGTTGATGAAAGTCTGTAGTTTTTTCAAAGTGCCCTTAGTGATTCGGCGCCAAGATTCTGATCTATATAGTAGCACTGAAATAGTGAACAGAAGTGTGAGTGAGGGAAATAGAATGGTAGTCATATGGAAGAACGACAATAGAGGAATTTTATTGGATATGACTGGTAAATCACAAAGAGTGAAAGCAACATCCCCGCCAGCCATTGACAACGAGGATTTTGAGTGAGCCACATCACTACTAATTTTTTCCAGCTGTCATTGGTTTTTAGCATCATCCTGAGGATGCCAACCAGTCTGTGAGGCAGTCTACACCTTCCTACGTGGCTGACCTGCTTAGACTAACTGTTATGAATTTAATTGACTGATGCAGCTGCTTCACAATCTCATCGATGGATTTTCTCTCCCCCTACCTAGCACTTGACTGTTGCCTAATATCAACATTACTCACTCTGTTTTCCCACTTCATACGGGAAATAGTAGGTAAGATCTTCTTATTCAGACGCTACAATTACAAATCCATGAATTGGTTACAGGATTTCATCATGAACTGACAAAGGTTAGAGAACCATTGGAAAACCTGCATAGGGTACTGGACAGGTGTTTCGTTCTAGTTCTGAACGTACTGATGAAGAGTCCCAAACTAGGCGAGACGAAACAGCTGTCCAGTACTTCTTGAAGGCTTTTCAATGGTTCTCCAACCGATGTCAGCTCTTGATGAAATCCTCCATCCAATCAAACAAAATCCCTACAAAAACCAAAACTTGAAAATCCATGATTATTAGAATACCATACAAATACCTAGTAAAGGCGAATCAAAGTTATATTACAACGTGTATTGGAGTGCACTTGTAACAACAGAAGACAAGGGTCAGGTAACAGATCGTTTATTAAGGAAATCAACACATATTTATAGATATTCATGTACATATTATAGATTATTGTTAGCAGAAAAACACAGTCCTCTGATTGTTGGTTGTTTCTCACTGAAAGTTAATCTTTCATCTTTCTGCGGCTGTTTCTTGAATGTCAGATCATGTATATGCTAACTGTATCCGCCTGCGCAAAAATCTTTGTTCTCATTTTTCTCACGACCAATATTGGAGACATAAGCATTGACGTAAATTACTGTCCACCAATTCTGACTAACAGCCAGCTCTCACCACACACTTATGAGGTGGAATAATAGTCCGTTAGTTTTTAATGTCAATTGAATGCATTTATAATTTGTAGTCATTAAGAATATGCAATAAAATGTAAATAGACAATTGAGTGACATAATAATGTGCATTTAAAATAAACAAAATATGAGTTTCAAGGCTCAAGAGGTAGCGAGTTGTATTCTATTAGTGCGAGTGAAATATATATGAGTACTTTGGATTGTTAGATTTTCGTCACAGATTGATATCATTTAAATATTTGATAGGTCCAAGGCTTCCTATGGCCGATTGCCTCCAATTATCTAATATCATCAAATCGATTCACATTGCGATGGTGAGCTATCTAGAATGGTGGCCACATTGTAAAGCTGACTGACAGAATTCAGTATGCATCAAAGAAAGGACTAGACACATCACACTAGTTACTAGTGTCCAATCAAAATACTCCATATTTAACTATGATTATATTCACAAATATTTTAATTGCGTATATATATGATTTTACGCATCAGTGGCACAGCGGTAGATTGCTCACCATTTGAAACGAGGCAAAGCGGCAGGACCCGACGGAATTATTCCGGAGGTGTTTAAATATGGGGGTGACATACTAGTTTGTAGATTAACTGAGGTACTAGGCAAAGTCTGGGAATCAGAGATAGTGCCATCAAACTGGGGTAAGTCACTTATTATACCGATATTCAAGAAGGGAAACAAGTCCTTGTGTGATAATCATAGGGGGATCAGCCTAACGAACATAGTTTCTAAAATCCTAGGCTCAGTAATCATGCATAGACTAAGCAGAACTCGGGAGGAACAGACGAGGGAAAATCAAGCAGGCTTTAGACCAGGTAGAGGGTGCATAGATCATATCTTCACTCTTCGACAGGTTCTAGAACATAGATACACTTTTCGGCGTCCAACAACTGTCATATTTCTTGACTTGAAGGCGGCCTTCGACTCCGTGGATCGAAAGGTACTATGGCAATGTCTGACTGTGAAGGGAGTGCCAAGAAAGTACATCGCACTAATCAAGGCATTCTATTGAGACTCGCGTAGTCGTGTAAGGGCTTATGGGGAATCGTCATCTGAATTGGTAACAACCAGTGGTGTCCGACAGGGATGTCCACTTTCCCCATTTCTGTTTAACTTCATCATAGATATGCTAATGGAAGTATCCTTAACTGAACGTAGTGACTTAGGAATCGACTTGTTACCAGGGAATAGTCTTATGGACTTAGAATATGCAGATGACATAGTCCTGTTAGGGGAGGATGCTGACAAAATCCAGCAGAGTCTTCTGAACACCTTGAGCAGCAATCTCCGTATGTTTGGCATGCGATTCGCCCCTACAAAATGTAAGATGCTGCTACAGGACTGGACCACGTCAACTCCTAACTGAGTGATAGGGAGTGAAGTGATAGAACATGTTGACCACTTCACCCATTTGGGAAGTTGTATCAGTACCAACGGACTGATTGGCGATGAAATCTCAGACATGATAGAGAAGATTTGTAGCTCAGGTGGATGATTTTGATGTGGTTTTGTTCTCTGAGCTGGATGATTAGTTTGCGAAGCTTTCATCACCTTACTCGGTGGACATCTTCAGCGCATACTTCAATTTGAAGTGAGCTTTTAGATTTCTCCACGAGTTTATTAATCATCTCTCCTGGTGACCTTGGACGTGATTGGTTGTTTGTGTGTGTTTTCACACCTTCTAGGTTACTTGTATTGGAACTGACTGTTTCTTTGACTTGAACTTTGACCCTTTGTGTGTGAAGTTTCTTTCTTATTGGTTGATAAATTTCGTCTATTTCGATGTGTCTATTGATTGATGATTCACTGGAATGCCAAGCTTCTAAAAATTCTCTAGCATTCTTGTTATTTCCTTTGTCTAATATTTGAACGTTGTCCCAGTCGAATTGATGTCCGTACGGAGAAATCTAAAAGCTCACTTCAAATTGAAGTATGCGTTGAAGATGTCACCCAGTAAGGTGATGAAAGCTTCGCAAACTAACCATCCAGCTCAGAGAACAAAACCACATCAAAAGATGCAATCTCAGCACGGATCCGAAAAGCTCGAGCTGCTTTCGCTGACTTACATTATCTCTGGCGTAGGCGTGACATCCGACTGGCTATCAACCAAGGGACGTGTGTACTGCTCATCAGTTCGCTCCGTCCTTGTCTATGGCTCTGAAGCATGGCCAATACGAGTTGAAGACATAAAAAGGTTGACTGCTTTCGATCACAGACGTCTGCGATCTCTGTCTCACGTTAGGTGGTTTAATAAGGTAAGTAATGTTGACGTTAGGCGTAGAGTGTTGGGCAAACAGGGAAAATCAATCGACGAGGCTATAAAGTTACATAGATTGAGATGGCTAGGTCACGCGCTGCGCTTGCCTAACAATCGGCTCCCCCGACGGGCATTGCTAGCTGATATAGGTGTGCAGGTTGGAAAAGGGTAAGTGGTGGCCAAACAAAAACATGGCCTCATCAATCCATGAAATCCTTGACAGTTAAACTGATTCAGGTAGGGAGATGCAGACTCCCGGGTTGGGGCTCTTGGGACTGACTCTAGGAATCAATGGCTGGAGACAATAGGTGACATGGCTCAAAGTGATCGTTGTCAATGGCCAGCGCAGATGTATTCAGTCTCTGTAATCTTTCGTATTCCTTTCTACCATTACCCATTCTGTTTCACTCTTATACTTGTCAAACTCTATTGATTCTCTTCATTCATCTTCTTGTCTACCTCTGTGTACTATTTGGAAGGTGGCAACTCGAACTGGTGCACTTCGGTGGCAAGTTCTATGTTGAATCCAGAC